CCATCACCAGCGCCAGACGGGAACACAGTGGCAGCTACACCTGTCGCTATAGCAACAGAACAGACCCAGCTGCCTACTCGGAGCCCAGCGCCCCTGTGCAGATCATTGTAGCAGGTGAGGGGCCCAGCCCGGCACCTCGGCTCCCAGCCCCACGCCCAGCCAGACCCCAGGGAGTCTCCGCGAGCCCTGGCGCTCAGCAGATGGGACGTCCAGCCAGTGAAGGTGTCATGTGTGGAAGAGATCTCAGCCCCCTGGAGGAGGGAGGGGGGAGATCTTGGATGGTGCCCTGGATCCCTATCCCTGTCTCTGCCCTCTCGCAATGCCAGGAAATGCGGCCAATGGGAGCTGCGGAGCCGGCACTCAGGATAGGGGCAGTGTGCGGAACCCCCTGCTCATCTCTGAGGCGCCACAAGGTGGCTCCGGCTGCTACTGGGAGCGGCGTGGGGCAGGAGCAGACAGGGAGCCTGCCTGAGCCCCGCTGCACCGACGACCAGGAGCCACTCGAAGTAAGCACCACCCGGCCAGAGTCAGCACTCCTCACTCCCTCCTACACCCCAGCCCCCTGCCCCAGCTCCGAACCCCCTCCTGCACCCAAACTCCCTCCCAGAGCCCACCCCCTCACTCCCTGCCCCCAATACACTGCCCCATCCCCGCACTCTCTCCTGCACCCCAACACCCTGCCCCAACCCAGCACCCCTTCCTGCACCAAAACTCCCTCCCAGAGCCTGCACCCCTCATCCCCCACCCCAATCCCCTTCCCCAGTCCTGTGCCCCCTCCTAGAGGCAGCACTGTGCACCCTATCCTGCACCCCAACCCCCTGCCCCATGCTAAGCCCAGAGCCGCCTCCCACACTCCAAATCACTCGGCCCCAGCCCAGAGGCCCCCCCCGACCACAGCTCAACCTCTTGGCCCAGGCCACTGACAGTGAGTGAGGGTCGGGGAGAGCCAGTGACGGAGGGAGGGGGGATGGAGTGAGTAGGGCAGGGCCTCAGATAAGGGGGGGCCTCGGGGAAGGGGCGGGGCAAGGGTGTTTGGGTTTGTGTGATTAGACAGTTGACAACCCTATCTGGGGGCAGCTGGGCCCATCAGTGTCCATGGCGGGGAGGGGGCACCCTGCAGCTGATAGCAGGGGATAGCCGATTAGCAGCACTGCGAAGGCCCTGGAGATCCTTTTCCCTGCCCTGGTTGGGCTGTGTCTTTCCTCCTCTCCTAGCTCACTCTCCTGGCTTTCCATCGGATGCTGCAGTCGGGTGTGTGGCACCCACCCCACCTGCCCTGCCTAAGGAGAACGGACCCAACGCGAGTCTGGCCCTGCCCGGATTGTAACCACCCAGGGTCTGAGCACCAGGGGTCGTGGTCGCCTTTCAGCCAACGCACCCGCTTGTCACTAACCTGCATCCAGCGCCTGCCACCATTCCCAGAAGCTGCATTTCACCCCCATTTCCATCCTGTCTCTCCCCCACCCCCTGTCTGTCCATTTGCTAATGTGAGGGGAGTGTTGGCCCCTCACTGACACTTAGTGGGGTTTTTGGTTGGCCAGATCCCAGTGCCAAAGAAAGGTACTGAGCTGAGATTTCCCAACCACTTCAACCAAAACACACTATTTTAGGTCAAATATAAAACAGATTTATTAACTCCAGAAGGAGAGATTGTAAGTGGTTATAAGGAGCAGGTGCAAAGATCAGAGTTGGCTACTTAAGAACTAAAAATAAATTCTACAAACAAAACAGGCTTTGAATCAGGCAGTGTCTCCCCCTGACAGATGGTACAAGCAGGTGACAGACCCTCATCACACAGACTGGACTCCATCCCAGCCTGGGGCCACCCTTCCCCAGTGCAAAGTCCTTGTTCTCCACATGTTCCTCCAGGTGTTCTGTTGTGGGGAAAAGAAGTCCAGGGGTTATGTCCCTTCCCCTCTTTTATATTTTCTTCCAACTTGCTGGAAAGATCTTTGCTGTGACCTGGGGATCAGGCAGTCCCCATTGGTCCAGCAATCTCCATTGTACGTGTAAGTGGGGAACTTTCCTGGCTTCTGCACTACCCCGCTGAAGTGGGCTAGTGAAAGGATCTGAGTCCTCGCTTCCACTTCCTTTACCCAGAGGCCTCCCTGCCCTCGAGGGCTCCCCTTCCCCTCTCCTGTCTGGCAGAGTCCTCGTAAACCCCGACAAGGCTGGGGCCAGGATTCCCAGGGGACTTGACCCCCAACCCTGCTGTGGTCGCCTGGGACAGGGGCGAGGGTGTCTCCACTCCGGGATACTCTCTCTGCACTGGGCTCCTCCCTGACCCACTGATCATTTCATACAATTTAAAGCAAATACAAGTTGTCTAATTAACAATTAATTAAAAAAAAGAATAAGGAAAAATGGGAAAGGTTAAAAGAAAACACATCACCCTGCTCTGTGGCCGGGAACATCACAACCAGTCAGGTTCCCTGGGCCCTGGGGCACAATGCAGCCTTAGGGCTTAACCCCTTCCTGCCCGCGCTGTAGCTGGGGGACAGGAGGCGGCTGGGTTATGTGGGTGGCCAGCAGCAGCCTGGGAGTGTTCGCTGCCTTTCCACACTGTGCGGGCAGGAAGGGACAAGCTGCTTCCCTCCATGGGGGGAGAGGGGGAGAGATGAGCTCTGCAGAGACATGGGCCAGGTCATTCCTTCCCCCTCACCCCACCCCCGCTCCTCCCCGGTGGCTGGAAGCAGCTCCTGTCCCTTCCCTCCCACACAGGGCCGAAAGGCTGCTGCTGGCCATATTCTGCTGTGAACCCTGGCAGAAATATGGGGGGGGGGCATGTGACCTTGTGTCTCCCCCCACACAAACACGTGTTGCCTCGGGAAGACATGGCACCAGGTACCAGGACAGGCACGGAGGTCGGAGAGTGCTGGGCAGGGAGGTTTGGTCACTACCCCTGTGTGAGAGAGGGATCTCGGAGAGGTTCCTCTGGCTGGGTTTTGTCCCAGGGGCCCCGTCTCTTGGACCGTGCAGTGAGGATGTGGCGCAGTGACTGTGCCGGGGTCTGTCTCACGGCCTGTCTCCTCACCGCAGAGCTCAGCTACCCCAAACCCTCCAAAACCCAGCCAAAACTGCGATGCCCCCTAGTGCCTCCCATGGCCATGGGGCAGATTCACCTGGAAATGCTCACAAGGGGGAAAGCCACATGCCCCCAAAATGGGGGGGGGCAACTTCCATTGTCCCCCTTTCCCTGCCCCTGCCCTGCTCCCCTCAGCTCCTACAACTCAGCCCTCACACCCCAATGTTCCCCCACATTCTCCCAACCCTGCATTCCCCTGCCCCCTCCTGCCCCCCTGAGCCCAGCCTGGTGCCCAGCCAACTGGGGACACTGGGAAATGGCAGCAATCTGAGGGTGGGGATGAGCATTTGAGAGGGAAAAGGGCAGGGGTGTGAGGAGGGATGGGCCATGGTGGGGGCAGGGTGCACGGGGGGCGGCTCAGGGGGTTCTGAAGGGGAATAGGCCAGGGGCAGGATGGGAGATTGGGGGGGGCAGGCTGGGGTGGGGGGTATTATTTATGGGTGACAGGCTGGGGACTCTGCTTGGCAGCTAATCTGCTGTTCATCCCCCTCCTGCTCCACGGGGCCGGGGGCAGCTATGGGGGGAGGCTCCTGGGCAGTTGGGGGGCAGCTGGTGAGCAGGGGGTCGGGAATTTAAGAAGCCCATTGGAGCATCGGACCAGGCTCCTGAACCATCTTCTAATGGTGCTCCTGAGTCATGTGAGAACAGAGGGGTGACGGCGCCACCACCACACCCGGGTCCAGCCCGACCCCCACTGCCCCCCCACTCTAACCACTGGACGCCCCTCCCCTCCCGGAGCCGGGAATGGAGCCCCCTGACCCCCAGCTTTCTCCTGCCCTCTAGCCAATGGCTGTATAAACAAAGCCTGTGTCACGTCCCTCTCTAGGGGTCTGGCCACATAACCACTGACAGTGTCTCCTCTAGCTCGGGGGCAGGGTCTCTGCGGGGGCATTAGCAGGTCCCTGGGTCTCTCCCGGCTGGTGACCCGTTGGGGGTCCGGGATGGAATTTCTCTTTCTCTGATTTTCTTTTGAACCTGGTTGATTTAATTCACATGCTGAGAAAAGCCCCTTAGAACCAGGCGTTACAGTGTAAACCCAGCATCACCACTCAGCTATGGCGCAAGGGGCAGCAAACCCAGGCGTCCCCCATCGCGCCCGCTCCTCACACGGTGCCACGGCTCGTGTCAGAGGTGGGCAGGTTTGCAGCCTGAGAGGGAAGGCTGCAGAGTCAAAACCTCCAACAAAAGGAAATGCCACAGTTACAGTTTCCTGAACGACCTTAACTCTGCCCGTTCATGCAGCTCCATTACGACGCCAGCCTTTAATTGCAAGATCATGTATTAACTTTACCGAAATGGGCCATCAGCCGCTTGAACCCAGAATGAAAGGGGGATGGAATTGTCATGGAAATCGTGGTCAGTGGAAGATTGAAGACCAGACCCCGTGGTCGCCTGTGTTACAAAATGGGGGATTGTCTTGTGTTTTCTTTGGTTTTCAATGGTTTGCATGCAGAGGGAGTGGGTCTCAGTGTCCCTGGGTGTTACTGGTTTAACGAGGTGAGGGGAGAGGGAGTTTGGGACCCCACCCGATGGCCTGGAGGATGGAGACCCCAGCGACTGGTGACCTGACAACCTGGAGACCAAGCTCAGGAGTTGCAGCCGGATCTGGCAAGTGGGAGGACAATGGGCTGCAAAGAGAGGACCAAGTGACCTAACCAGCCGGTTCCAGCCAGAGGGGCCAGAAGACAGAAGAGAGGAGAGGAGGCCCAGGCAACCCGGTTTATGACCCTGCTTACATGGAGAGAAGACAAAGGACAGAGGCAGGACTTGGGGTTGGTGATATCAGATGCCCAGCTGGGAAGCAGGGGGGCTCTGGGCTGGAGAGGGGGGGCAGGCAGAGCCCACCTGGATGCAGGGATGACGGGGAATGTGCTCTGCTGAGGGAGGCCAGGACTCAGGCCCTGAGAGTTTCCTGTGCTGTGTTCAATGCTCAATAAACCCTCCTGTTTCATGCTGGCTGGGAGTCACTCTGGTCTAGAGAACAGGGTTGCATCGTCCCCTTCGGGGGAAGAGGCCCCAGGGCTCCAGAGCGAGTGGACTCCCTGAGGGGACCCATGGCGAAAGACAGGTGTGCTAAGGCTCAGAGAGGTGTGGCTCCTGGAGGGAGAGAGATTGGATCCCCGGGAAAAGGGCCGTCTCACTGATAAGGGGCACCCCCCACGGACCGCACGGGGCCAAGAGTGGGCACAACCTGTGAGTCTGTGACAGCCTGGCTCTCACCCTGATGCACCTTCCACAAGGCTGCAGGGTATGTTGATGGTGACCTTTCCCCCCTCTCCACAGAGACACAAACAAGCTGTGAGCTGCATGACACTTGGCCAGTTTTGCAAAGCCCTCTGTTTACTTTGACCGCAGTAGATTTCGTCTGCAGATTAAAGATAGCGTGTGATGGACACAGGAAGAGATGAGAGATTGTCAACTTCCTGTAACTGGAGCCACCAGCTGAGTTCCTCATTTGGGGCATGGTGGAGCTGGGCACCTGGGTCTTGGAGGCAGCCCTGAGTGGCCCTTGCTGCCCCCATTATGGTGTCTGCTCTCATGATCCTCTTCCTTGGTGAGTATAGGAGACAAAGAGGGCTTTTGTCCATAGGGGGTTGGGATCTGAGACCAGGGCATGTGCCCATGGAGGGAAACTGAGACCAGGGCATGTGCCCACAGGGGTGGGGGATCTCAGACCTGGGTGTGTGTCCATATGGGGGAATGTGAGACCATGGCGTATGTCCATGGAGTGGGGGAATCTGAGACCAGGGTGCAGTATTGAGTTGCTCTGGGATCTGGTCCCTAACGAGCTGTCTCCTTACCAGGCTGCTGGCTGGCCGGGCAGAGCCGAGAGTTTAGACGTGAGTATCTGTGGGGCAGGGGAAACTTTAGTGTTCAGGACGGGGAGGTCGGGGGAAGCAATTTTGAGCCTGTTCAGACCCTGAAGCTGCAGACTCCACAGCAGCTTCCCAGACAGGAGCTTAGCACCCCCTTCGCCCCCCACCGCCTCGCCCTGGGTCCTGCCCCCAGGGAGCGCGGGGCTGCTCCGCCCCCTCGGCACCCTCCCCTGCTGAGCCCCCTCTCTGGCCGGGGTCACTGAGGCCCCTGCAGTCAGGTTCCCTGGGCCCTGGGGCACAATGCAGCCTTAGGGATTAACCCCTTCCTGCCCGCGCTGTAGCTGGGGGACAGGAGGCGACTGGGTTATGTGGGTCACCAGCAGCAGCCTGGGGGTGTTCGCTGCCTTTCCACACTGTGCGGGCAGGAAGGGACAAGCTGCTTCCATCCCTGGGGGAGAGGGGGAGAGATGAGCTCTGCAAAGACACAGGCCAGGTCAGCCCTTCCCTCCCCTGCTCCTCCCCGGTGGCTGGAAGCAGCTCCCATCCCTTCCCACCCAGACAGGGCCAAGAGGCTGCTGCTGGCCACATTCTGCTGTGAACCCTGGCAGAAATTGGGGCGGGGGGGGGCATGTGACCCTGTGTCTTGCCTCCTCCCACGTGTTGCCTCGGGAAGACATAGTGCCAGGTATCAGGAGAGGCGGGTCCGTCCCCGGGGGTCCAGCCAGGCATGGAGGGAGGAGAGCGCTGGGCAGGGAGGTTCCGGTCGGTCAGTCACCCCCACCTTGTGTGAGAGAGGGGTACAGGAGTGTGTGTGGGTGTGTGTGTAAAACCTCCCCCGTAGAGGGGGGGATAGGGGTGTTGTGACGGAGCAGGGAGCAGGGCAGATTTGACCTGGGAATGTTGCAGGGGGATTGCAGTGAGGAGGGGGGACTTCCCTTGAAGGAAGCTACCTGAGCTGTAACCTGAGCCAGGAACGGGGGTGGGGAGAATTAACACCTTCTGCCCGGGAGACTGAACAAAGGAGAGGAGCAGCGGGAGGAGTTGGGAGTTTAGTTTCGGTTTGGGCTGGGTGGTGCAACGCAGGGAACTCCAAGCTGGGGTCTAAGCTCCCTGAACCTCCCAGAGGGACCTAATTGAGGGGGTCTGGTCGTACCTACACGCTCTGCTTGAGACTGTGTTCCTGTCCTTAAATAAACCTTCTGCTTTACTGGCTGGTTGAGAGTCGCAGTGAATCTCGGGAAGAGGGGTGCAGGGCCCTGACTCCCCCACACTCCGCAACAGGTGTATATATCACCCCTCTCAATTTGAATTGTAAAGCCTTAAAGATAAGAAGGTAAATACAAAGAATCCAGCTACGCAGAATTTCTTATGAACAGGGGCTCAGTCAACTTAATGTTAATTAGGATGTTTTTACTGCATAGCTCTGATTGATTGCCATTGAACGCGCTTGAATACGAGTGATTTTACCAGGTGTCCCATATTCAGCATAGGGAAATATGGTCACCCTCCTGGTGGGCTGAGATCAGAACCCAGCCCTGCCCCCAGTGCAGTCAGGGGTGACTCCGGATTGACCCTGGGGGCTGAGATCAGAATCCAGCCCACAGGTTCCCTGTGGATGCAGTGAGGTGTCTGTTAGCCCTGGTGCTGTCCCTGGGGCTGGGCGCTAAGGGCAGGTTACAGACACAGGGGGAGGGGATTGTGTCTCCCCATCTCACTCCCGTTTGCGTGTGAACGCAGAGCTCCCTGCGCCTGGACCCTCCATCTCCGTCAGACCCAGCGGGGTGATCGCCCTGGGGCAAGTCGTCACCATCCGCTGTCAGTGTCGGTGCGGGGCCAGGAGGTTATTTCTGTATAAAGGTGGAATGGAAATCCAGGAGCTGGATGCTGCTGGGGACGGGGGTGAATTCACCATCCCCAGCGCCAGATGGGAAGACGGAGGGGCCTACAGCTGCCGATCTCACTCCAGATCGGAGCCGCCCGACTGGTCGTATCCCAGTGACACCGTGTGGATCATTGTAGCAGGTGAGAGGCCCAGCTCAGCATCCCGGCTCCCAGCCCCACCCCCAGCCAGACACTTGTGGGGGGGCTCCAGGCAGATGGGAAACTCCTTGGGGTGTCACTTAACCTGCCTGTGCCTCCATTTGGCATAGAAAGTACGCTTATTAAGTTTGCGGATGATACCAAACTGGGAGGGATTGCAACTACTTTGGAGGACAGGGTCATAATTCTGGGATGTATTAACAGGTGTGTTGTGAGCAAGACACGAGAAGTCATTCTTCCGCTCTACTCTGCTCTGGTTAGGCCTCAGCTGGAGTATTGTGTCCAGTTCTGGGCGCCGCATTTTAAAAAAGATGTGGAGAAATTGGAAAGGGTCCAAAGAAGAGCAACAAGAATGATTAAAGGTCTTGAGAACATGACCTATGAAGGAAGGCTGAAAGAACTGGGTTTGTTTAGTTTGGAGAAGAGAAGACTGAGAGGGGACATGATAGCAGTTTTCAGGTATCTAAAAGGGTGTCATGAGGAGGAGGGAAAGACTTTGTTCACCTTAGCCTCTAAAGCTAGAACCAGAAACAATGGGTTTAAACTGCAGCAAG